ACTGTTCTCTTTTTTTACGCCCCTTACCTTTTTTTTCTCTTCGAATTCTCATTGTTTTGTGTGGTGCATATATATTGGCGCTCTCTAGTACCAATATTTATGTGTTCAAATAAATAAATAATAAATAATGCTCTTTACAGTCAATCAAACTTGCTCTACAACGATCAAGTAAACTGATAATTGTACGTCTAGGTGGCTGAAAGCCGGTTTCGAACCAGAACTTTCTATAAGATCGAAGTCATAATAGTTCACGAGAATTCGAGCCTCATCTGTGTACAAAAGTCATTCAATCCTTTATTTTAACATGGTCCTAGGTATGTTGTACGAAAAAATAGGACCGATTAAATCAAGAATTTGTACCAGGCCAATAAATCATCACCGACTAGAATGATGAACTATGTTAGTAGATATATACAACCTGATTGGATTTCGTGTGATTATAACAATCATTGGTTGGAGACTTTTGGTGACATGACTCAGAATCATTCACAGTGATGTAGGTGCATTCGCTCCTTGTTCTTTCATTATAACATAAGTCCCGAAGTCTCTTTATATATTTTTTCCATCTCTATACCTAACATTTTCTACTTCTACTGATGCTGTTGTTAGTTGTACTACTCTAGAAACTTGTGTTGAAATTTCATCTTGTTGTGCTAATGTGGTATTGTAGTGAGCGAGAACACAGTGGGGACAACCAATGAATTTGAACAGAATATCTTAGTAAAATCTGAGAACCATATAGTAAACACTTCATTTGCAAAATATCAATCAATCGTCTCAGACTTTATTGTTCCTTCGTTTCCACACCAATTATTCTCCGTTTTCGTTCTCTTTCCTTCGATCTTTTGCCGCCAGACATTTCACTTTCGATTGATGATACAAACTAGTTATATATGTCAGCATCAGTAGTGCACACCACACTCATCCCCCCTTTTCTTTTCTGCATTCTGTGCCACACTCTGTCAAAATGTTGAGTCTGTAGCGCGCTGACCTTCATAGCTCGGTCAACCTGTCGAATCATCAAAATCCGACGTACGCCCAGAGCCCGGGACTTTAAACGCATGCACTCTAGCAACCTGCCGAGCCATCTACATCCGATGTCCAGCCGGAAACCGCACGTCTCACTGCTTCTCTCCGTCGACAGTACCCGCTACAGTCAACGCCTCCCCACCAAAACACCCCTCGACGTCACCTCCTCGCAGCAGAGCGCCCCAGACCTGTAACGACGTCAGCAGAACAGCATCACAGTATGACTGTGATGTATGCCGCTTATGTCTGTCGAAGTAATTAGTATGTATCACCAATCGGAAGTGGAATACTTAACAGCAGAAGGTTAAGAAGATCGAATTGAAGGGAACAGGAATGTAAACTGAGGGTAATTGTGATAGCGATGAAGTTTGAAATATTTGCGAATAAAGTATTTAATTTGTAGTTTGTCACATTTTACGAAAGAACTCTATAATTTTACAATAAATAATAAATTGGTTATCTTCATCAATCTTCGTTCCATATATAACAACTTGAGCCAATGTACATATGTATCAAGTTCGACATTGACTGGCAATGATCATATTATCTCTCTTATCATAAGCTTTACTTTAACCTATGAACTGTTATTATACGATTTTCAATTCTTGAATTGTTCCCTGTCTATTAGCCACTGCCTCCAACATTCACAGCCACATCTAGCTAATTCTTATACAAATGTTGTTCATATTTTATTGGTACGTTGTGGTCTGTTTGATTGGTATATAAACTCAGTATGTTTGAAATGTAATGATTCATATTACAGAGTCTGAGACTGGTGTACTGGACTTAACTGGATGGGTTAGGCGGGAAGCAGGACCAATTGGGACTCTAGGCTGTTATTCCTGATTTTCTCCGCTAAAATTTGTATAAACCTCTACGTTGTATATAGCTGGTTGAATAATTAATTTGAATGTACTTCTGTTTGGATTGTTCAGTAGTGAGGTCATATAATAGTATGAGTATAAACATTGAGATTTAGTATTTAAAAAAATACACTTTTCCACTGAATATTCTGATAAGAGTTTGGAAAATAATTCAGTAGGAAAATCATTTAAGAAAAATTAAGATGCCTCTGAGATAGTGGATAAGATTTGTAGCTCAGTTGAATCATTTTGATGGAGTTTTGTGATCTGAACTATATGACTAAACCATCCAGATCACAGAATAAAACTCCTTTACGACGCCACTCTCAGACTAGTAATACAATCACAACTGTTTCACTTGGCAAATAATTATTTGTAAGTAATCTCTATCCAACTTTTTTAATTGTATGGAGCTGAAACTTGGAGAACTAGTACAATCATCATCAGAAAGGTGCAAGTATTTATAAATAGTTGTCTACGCAAGATACTCAAAATCTATTAGCCGGATACCATCAGCAACAGACTATGGAAGAGAACAAACCAGTTTCCAACTGAGGAAGAAATTAGGAAAAGATGATGGAGGTGGATTGGACATACATTGCGGAAACCATCAAACTGCATCACGAAGCGAGCGCTAACTTAGAATCCTGAAGGGCAACGAAAAAGATGAAGGTCAAATAATACATAACGTCGAGAATTTAAATCAAGCATGAAAAGGATGAATAGCAACTGGAAAGAACTGGAAATGATTGTCCAGTACAGAGTTGGATGTAGAATGCTGGTGATCAACCTTTGCTCCTCCATGAGGAGTAACAGGCGTAAGTAACAAGTAATCACTATTCTGATAGAAATTGATTTTTTACAGTTGGATTTACGAGTCAATCTAAGCTGGACCACTATTGAAAACTTAGAAGCACTGGATGGCTACTTCGTCCTAATGATGGACTCCTTAGCAGTGAGCGTCCACGAAATTGATTGGAATACTTTACCATTACAATTATGTATTTGATGGTTCTTAATTTATAACAATCACTCATTCATTTATCTTCATATTGTGAACTTTTCACATCACTCACATAGAACTTATATTATGCTACTTACTAAACTCCGCCTGGAGTCCCTCTGGGACTACTGTCAGTCACAAGCCCTGATAAAGAAGGAGGGTTGAGTATGTAGTTGGCGATCCCATCCCGTAAAAAAATAAATCACTAAAAAACGCTAACCATAAAAAAAATAATTCAAAACATTTAACTTCTGCCCTAGGAGATAGGTCTTCATTGACAAGAGTTAGGACGCCTCATGGTGAAAGCCGAGTTCCTTCGGAAGTCATGAAGCTGATGCCCCTTCTGACGACCAGAGAAACTATTAATTTAGGTACATGCGATGCTCTTGAATCGACCAGCACCAGTGAACTCACCCAATCGATGTTGGCCCACCAACAATTGAACAGATCAGACAAATCAAAAGCGGCAAAGCAGCAAGACCAGACAACATTACAGCAGAGGCATTAAAAGCAGATGTAGCAGTAACTACAAAGATACTCCACATACTCTTCAACAAGATTTGGGATGAAGAGCAAATACCAACAGACTGGAAAGAAGAACTTCTGGTCAAAATAAGAAAGAAAGGCGATCTCAGCAAGTGTGATAACTACAGGGGCATCACTCTTCTCTCAATACCGGGAAAAGTATTCAACAGGGTATTGTTAAACAGGATGAAGGACTGAGTAGACGCCCAACTTCGAGACCAACAGGCAGGATTCTGTAAGGACAGATCGTGTACAGACCAAATCGCAACTCTACGGATCATTGTGGAACAATCAATTTAATGGAACTCATCACTCTACATCAACTTCATTGACCACGAAAAAGCATTTGATAGCGTGGACAGGACAACATTATGGGAGCGTCCTCGACATTACGGCGTGCCTCAGAAGATAGTCAATATCATACAGAATTCTTATGATGGATTAAACGGCAAAATCGTGCATGGAGGACAATTGATAGACTCGTTCGAAGTAAAGACCGGTGTTAGGCAAGGTTGCTTACTACCACCCTTTCTCTTGCTCCTGGTGATCGAATGGATCATGAAGGCGTCAACATCTGAAGGGAAACACGAGATACAGTGGACACCTAGGATGCAGTTGAACGATCTAGACTTCGCAGATAATCTGGCCCTCCTATCGCAAACGCAACAACACATGCAGGAGAAGACGGCCAGTGTAGCAGCAGCATCAGCAGCAGTGGGTCTCAATATACACAACGGGAAAAGCAAGATTCTCCAATACAACACAGCATGAACCAATCGAATTATACTTGACGGAGAAGATTTGGAAGATGTAAAAATCTGTACATATCTGGGCAGCATCATTGATGAACAGGGTGGATCTGATGCAGATGTGAAAGCGCGGATCGGTAAAGCAAGAGCAGAATATTTACAACTGAAGGACATCTGGAACTCAAAACAACTGTGTCAGCCAACACCAAGGTCAGGATTTTCAATACAAATGTCAAGACAGTTCTACTGTATGGGACGGAAACCTGGAGAACTACGAAAGCCATCATCCAGAAAATACAGGTGTTTATTAACAGTTGTCTACGCAAAATACTTCGGATCCGTTGGCCGGACACTATTAGCAACAACCTACTGTGGGAAAGAACAAACCAGATCCCAGCGGAGGAAGAAATCAGGAAGAAGCGTTGGAAGTGGATAGGACACACATTGAGGAAAGCACCCAACTGCGTCACAAGGCAAGCCCTCACATGGAATCCTCAAGGTCAAAGGAAAAGAGGAAGACCAAAGAACACATTACGCCGAGAAATGGAGATAGATATGAGAAAAAAGAACAGGAATTGGATAGGACTAGAAAAGAAGGCCCGGGACAGAGTGGGTTGGAGAATGCTGGTCGGTGGCCTATGCTCCATTAGGAGTAACAGGCGTAAGTAATAGTAAGTAGTCCTCTTCTTCTTCTTCTTCTTCTTCTTCTTCTTCTTCTTATCAACCATCGGCAGCTTAACCTTCGAGGCTTTCTTCACGTCCTTATCAGACACAACTTTAGCAGGTATCACTTTTGTAGACGAACACGTACCAATAGAAGAAATCAATGATATAGAAAGAATCTATACTGTATATTCTTTCTTTTTTTTTTCATTTTCGTGCCAAAAATAAAACAAAAAAAAAAGAAATTGCTTTATGTACATGATTCGAAGAAACATGAAATTGACCTGAATTCAAAACATTCACATTATACATATACATTGCAAATAAAGGAAAAGATAATAATAAACAGGGTTTACCATTGATCTATAGGTGCACATGGAACAAGTTTCACTTTTGATAATAATGGAATTGGTGTAACTGGTATAAATAGGGTTTACCACTGATGTATAGGTGCACATGGAACAAGTTTCACTTTTGATAATAATGGAATTGGTGTAACTGGTATAAATAGGGTTTACCACTGATGTATAGGTGCACATGGAACAAGTTTCACTTTTGATAATAATGGAATTGGTGTAAGTGGTATAATAAATGATGAATCTAATAAACAATGATTTGTTGTATTATTTTGTTTAAATAGATCATTATTATCATGATAGTAGATATTATTCATAAATGAACAATCTGTTGGTTGTAAACAATAACCAATACCTAAATCAATTGTACCAGAATCTGACCAACGTCCAGCGGTTAATTCAATATGTGTACGAATTTCTAAATGATCTTGATTTATTGTTGATGTTGAAGATGTAGTATTATTATTATTAGTAGTAGTATCTTCATCTAATTGATGCCAAGAATTTGATGGTGGCCACCAATGATATAATTTGGATTGAATATTTGTATTATGTGTAATAGATTTTGTGAATTGATGATTACGTGATCCCGATAAATCAGGACGTCGAAATATGATACATATATGTTTGCTTAAATAAATTTAGAAATATAAATTATTTACAAGAGAGGAAATATAAAAATATCACAGATCATAGATGAGATCAAAATCTCATATTGATTAATCAATAAATAATGATCAGGGTCAATAATGCTGGTCAATAGAGATTAGTTGAAGCTTGGACAGCTTAGTGATAATATTTTATATTGTGAAACTGATTGACATCAGTGTGAAATTTAAAAGAAACATAATTCTATCCAAAATTGTAAGAGTCCCTCAAATGACCTGGTATGGCCGAGAGTGGGGTGGGTTCGCCCTCCCTCTTGAAATACTCTCACACGGCCACGCGTGTACAGCCTCTGCGAGAGAAGTTCTACTCACTGCCTTCTCGTAACGGGGGTGTTGTTTACGAAAATGGGAGGACGAAAAGCGAATGTCCGGCGATTTAACCGGATCCCAAATCAATGGTGCACGTGGGCTCCAGTATCCTGCGGGAACTATTATTATTATACTACCTTACACCAATCTGTTCGTTATTGTTCCCCTTTTCTTTCACGCTCCTTACCTTTTTTTTCCTTGTCTTTAAATTCTCATTGTTTTGTGTGGCCCATATATATTTGGTGCCCTCTTGTACCAGTATTTATGTGTTCAAATAAATAAAATTTGTAAGTACACCTTGTTGACAAGTGGTAACTAGCATAACGACTAACTCCAATAACTTGGCATTAAATCAAAGTGTTCCCTTGAAGTTTTTGAACATATTACACAATACTGTCAATGATGTTTGTGTTCACTGAACTCAAGATAGTTTATTTGTATAGATCATTGACTGTCATTTTGAAGACAACATTATCAAAGTCTATTTTGAGTAGAAGTTTCACAACAACTGATACTTTTGTAGTGACAAACCTAGAAGGGGAATACATGTTTCGTCTAATTTTACATATCGTGTGACATTTTGTTCTGTGCAATATTGATTTTATATTTCTCAATATAATATTATTACCTTAGCTTAATATATTTGTATTGGTTAAGTGTAAATTGTTTCTTCTAGTTAGTGCTTTTTTTAGCAAGGCCGTTTTCTACTGGATGGGATTGCTGACCCAATGACCAACTTTCCTTATTTATCCGAGCTTGGAACCAATAGTAACCCTAGAAGACATCATCATCGATGAACAAGGAGGAGGGTTTGATGCAAAAGTAAAGGCAGGGATTAGCGAAGCAAGGACAGCATTCTTACAGTTGAAGAAATTATGGAACTCGAAACAACTGTCAGTCAACATCGAAGAATTTTCAATATGAACGTCAAGACAGTTCTACTATACGGAGATGAAACTTGGAGAACTACCACAACCATCATCAAAAAGGTACAAGTATTTATAAACAATTGTCTAGGCAAGATACTTCGGATAGGACGTATATTGAGGAAATCATCACAAGGCAAGCCCTAACCTGGGATACTTAAACGTAAAGGAAAAGAGGAAAACTAAGGAACGCATTGCCCCGGGAATTAGAAGCAGACATTAAAGGAATGAATAGCAACTGGAAAGGATTGACAAAGGCAGAGTTCAATGGAGAATGCTGGTGGGTGGCCTATGCTCCTCGATGAAGGATAACAGCCGTAAGTAATTAAGTTAAGTGTAAAATCCCGTCCAAGGAGATAATTATATTCTTTGTATTATTTTGTGTGAACTTCGTGTGTACCTTGTGGCAACTCTGTATATCTTTTTCTTTACATGATATGTACTAACCATTCATGAACCAAGTGTAGAATCAATATAGAAATGAGTGTATTTAGTTTAATGATTATTTAAATGAGTATTTTTAAAGATTCGATATGTCTCCATTTATATCAGTGTCTTAGCGTCATAGGAATTGTAGTGGTTCCCGTTCTCAAGTATAAATAGAAGGATCGCGTATGAAATAGAGCTGAGAAGAGTCAACATGGTTATAACAGGGGCATCGAATACATATGCGCCACATAAGTCACTTGTTTCATATGTGTACTGTGATACTTCCCGGGTGCACAAACCGAAACAAGTGGTTTTCTTAAGAGGCCATAACCAGATCCTCCGACCTAAAGGTTTGATCCACAATGCAGTGGAGCAGCGTCAGGAGATGCTGTCTCATGGTAGCCAGTGACCAACGATTGGTTCATACACCATTTGCTCCTTCAGCATCCTGGATACCATGTACATCATTGGTTTAGAATCAGGGTTTTCCAACTTCCCTAGGAGGACTCTCCGTGTCCATCGACCAAGTTAAAGCGTCGGGCGTTCGTTTTGGTCCTCTTAACTTCGTAAGCAACACCCCCGCCTAGAGTAGGACTTTCTTGGTGCCGGCTGTATCCATGTGTCTATGTGAGAGTATTTCGAGAGGGAGCGATCATAGTACTTTGTGAATTAATTGTCATCTTATCAAATTTTTGTGAAGGCTGTGATACTGCCCGGGTGCCCAAACCGGAGCGGTGGTTTCCTTAGGGGGCGTTAGATGACTCTCTGTGCTTGATCACCGTTGTCTCCGACGGATTCCTGACATCCAGCAGCAACACTATTTTAGTAATGAAGAGGTTCGGCATCGTGTGTTCGGGCACAGAGACGATAATCCAATTGGTGTCACTATCTTGAGAAATAGACATCGGTGGCTTGGACATATTCTACGAATGTCATCCCAGAGAATTCCACGTCGTGCATTATTTGCCGACTCTGGGACTGGTTGGAAAAATCGGAGAGGTGGTCAGTGTATGACATGGTGTCGTGGTATGAAGGAAAACTGCACAGGACTAGCTTCTGTTGGTTCTTCACAACTCCCTGTCCGGGGTCCTAGAGATGCTGCAACACAGTGGCTAGAGACGTTATTAGATATGGATCAGAATAGAAGCCAATGGTGATCCTGATGTAACCTTCGTTTACTTTCTTCATAAAAAGTGACCGTAACTTCTTTAACTGAAAGAATTCTTTCTGGTTGTACCTTTTTGTTTCCTCTATTATTATTATTATTATTATTATTATTATTATTATTATTATTTCACTACCATACACTAATTCGTGGTCGTTATTGTTCTATTTTTTCTTTTACACGCACCTTACATTCTTTATCTCTTCCTATTCTCATTATTATTGTGTGGCACATATGTATCTGGTACCCCCTTGTACCAATATTGTGTTCAAATAAATAAATAAATTTCGAGAGGGAGAGGTGACTCTCCCTACCCTCAGTCGTACCGGGGCATCTGAGGGTTTCAGTGAGGATGAGGATTAGATTCGAATCCACATGAGAAAATCCTGGAAGCCTCAAAGAATTTCTACTCATCGTGAATGTACTGATTATTGTATTAATATAGTCACCATATGATGCTAAAAGTGTGATCAATGTGTCGTGAATACTGTCTATACATCAAAAAAATCTTTGGAATACCGCTTCAAATACAATAACATACTAACACAGTGATAACAAAAAAGATACATAATATCAGTCAGTCAGTCAGTAACAACGTAGAACTTCGTACGTACGTACATCACTTCGAGTTGCCACACCACATTAGCACAGAGATGCACTTGTCGATTCAAATCCCGTAGTGGTAGAGGTAATAAGAGTATAAGCAGTAATCGGGAAGATTAGGGTTTGGAGATGTTATTTAAAGAGTATAATCCAGTGAAAGAAATTTGGAAAGAGGAAAAAAGGGACATGAAGAATTCAGAAGATTAGAATTTGGGAGAACACAGAGAGTGGATGCACCTGCGCCATTGCAAACGATTTTGAGCCATGTCATTCAGGGTCTCTAACCATCGGTTACTATCATCTCGCGGTCCCCAACCAGGTAGTCTACACCTACCGACATGACTCAGACCACTTGTCAGTGACTTCATGGACTTGTGCCATGTTTTGGTCTGGCTGCTCCTAGCTTTCTTCCAACCTACTCCTATACCACTGAACATCGCACGTCGAGGCAGTCGGTCGTTGGGCATACGTAACACGTGTCCCAGCCATCTCAACTGATGAAGTTTCACTAATTCATCAATTGATTTGCCATCCTTACCTAGTACCCGTTTCCTAACAACTGCATTACTTACTCAGTGGTCTTAGGATATATGAGCAATGCTTCGAAGATACCTAAGAACGAATACTAGTAACCTATGAATAACATCTACTCTTACTGCCCATGCTTCACTGCCATAAAGTAGAACGGAACGAACTGCTGCGCAGTAAACCCGTCCTTTGGTTGATAGACGGATATGTCGCCTACGCCATAAATGACGCAAGTTGGTAAAAGCTAGTCGAGCCTTCTGTACATTATATATATATATATATATATATATATATATATATATATATATATATATATATATATATATATATATATATTATATATATATATATATATATATATATATATAAACACAATAACAACTTACCGTGCCATCTCAATATTCAAACCAATAATGATCGCTCTAATTCTTATCATAGCTGATGCAATAATTGCAGTGAAACGAATCTCTGGTATACTAACATTTCCACTAACATAACTAAATGATGATGTTGGCAAATCAATTCGATTAGTATTCATACTTAATAGGTCATTTTCATTTAACATATTCATCATGATCATAATATTATTATCTGGTTGATATTGATTCAATGAAATTATTGATCTTGTATCAATATTATAATTATTTTCTAAATTCATTAAACTACTACTATTACTAGATGGTTGTAGTAGTATCGCATAGACTGGTATTAATCTATTGGATAAATCCATTAAATAATCAATTAATATGACATAATCATCATTGAATTGTTCTAGATTGAATTCTATTGGAAAAGAACGTTTTCTAGTGTTACTTGACAATGGTTTAGATAGATCAATAATTGATAATGATGAAGTAACATCATTTTCTTGTATTGATGAATTAGATAATAAATTGATAATTGAATTTAATGAATCCAATAAATAATTGACATTGATTTGATGATGATCATTTATGAATGATTGAAGCAATTTAAATGTATTCGAACATAATCGAGATACATAAATAGATTCATATTTTGTTTTACCAGAGAATAAATGATTTATCTAAGAAAGAAAACATTGAATAAACAAGATGATTAGCTCTCTAAATGCAAGTTTTTGTTTTAGGACTGACCTGAGTCAACACCTCAACTATGGATATGAAGTGAAGTAGTCGAAAGTGTCGACAACTTCATTTATCTTGGAAGTCTGATCAGCCCTAATGGGTTGGTGTCTGATGAAATCTCAGCACGGATTCGAAAAGCTCGCTTGGCTTCTGACAACTTATGTCACCTGTGGCGAAGGCGAGATATCCATCTATCAATTAAAGGACGAGTATACTGCGCGGCAGTCCATTCTGTTTTAATTTACGGCAGCGAAACATGACCATTAAGAGTAAAAGACACTCGCCAGCTACTAGTATTTGACCACAGATGCCTTAGAAATATTGCTGGCATCTGCTGGGATCACCGGGTAAGTAATAGTGAGGTTAGACGCAACGTATTGGGGAATGATGGTCAATCAGTTGATGAGGTTATGAATCTTCATCGACTGACATGGTTGGGCCATGTGTTACGTATGCCTGAACACCGATTACCACGACTTGCAATGCTGACCAGCGTTGGGGACGGTTGGAAGAAATTTAGGGACGGCCAAACCAAAACGTGGCATCAGTGCTTGAGATCACTAACTTCTAGTCTGAGCCATATTGGTAGATGCAGACTACTTGGTTGAGATCCGCGTGACTATAGTAACCAATAGTTGGAAACCGTGGGTAACATGGCTCAGAATCCATCACAATGGTGTAGGTGTATACACACCCTGTCTTCCCTTAAACTAAGAGATTAAAATCGCTTTATATCTTTCTTTCCACGAACTAATTCTTTATTCCTGTACTATGTCATTATATGTTATCTTTCTTTTATATATTACCACTAGTGAATTAACTACTTCTATGAATTCTGTGTTCATCTTGTTGTGCTAATGAGGTATGGCAACTTGGACCGATGTATATATGTGTCTAGTCCCACGTTCTAGCTGACTGACTAACTCTCTTATTGGCGTATGTAAATCCAGTGTGGATTGTCTAGATATTGACTCAAATCACAAGCATTATAAGCAGAGATGGATGGTAACTAGCAATATAATCCAGGACTCGTTAGATGAATGTCCATGGATCCCAGAGCTGATGTACACTAAGAGACTTGGAAATGTCAATGAAGTTAAAAACGTGTGATGTAAGAGCATTTAGGTAGAGGAAACAAAATTTTAAGATTCCCGATTGTACAAAGTCATTTGGAGTCCAAACTATAAGCAGATAATTCAAGGTTTGAATCTGTAACTTTTCCTGTTTAGGACATTATCGTTGAGATATTCAGACCCACAAATCTATAGAATTGATATATTTACATCAACTGTCCACTGAGTCTTAATCAACGTTATATTTGTCTAGTCATTAGGGATGACCGAATCCCATCAATACAGTTATAATGTGACCACCGGCTTAAGTGACTGGAAAATGAGCGAGACGGAAGGCCCTGGGTTCGAGTCCCGCGTGTGAACTCGTCGATTTGTACTGCTGAGAAGTCCCGTACTAGGGAGAAACAGATGTCCAGTGCTTCCAGGTTTTCAATAGTGGTCTAACATCAATCGATTTATGATGTCAATCAAAAAATATTAACATTGTATTATTATTATAATTTATTTAAACACATAAACATTGGTACAAGGAAGCACCAAATACATATGCGCCACACAAATCTCATTCGATATGTGTGAGGGCTGTGATACTGCCCGGGTGCACAAACCGAAACAAGTGGTTTTCTTAGGAGGCCACGACCGGAGCCTTCGACATAAAGGTCTGATCCACGAGGCAGTGGAGCATCGTAAGGAGATGCAGTCCCATGGTAGCCGGTGACCAACGATTAGTTCATGCACCATTTGTTCCCTCAATATACTGGAGCCCATGCACCATTGATATGGTTTGGGATCCGGTTAAATCGCCGGACATTCGCTTTTCGTCTTCTCATTTTCGTAAACAACAACCCCGCTACGAGAAGGCAGTGAGTAGGATTTCCTTGGCAAAGGCTGTATACGCGTGGCCGTGTGAGAGCATTTCGAGAGGGAGGGCGGTCCCATCCCACTCTCGGCCATACCAGGGCATTTGGGGGCATGCCAAAGGATTATTATTATAGGATTGAAAAAACTATGAAACATTCATATACATATAGATAGAAATTAACTACTAACCTTAAGTGAATTACGTATTGCTTTATTTAATAATTTCATAATACGTTCATAAATTGGATGAATTAATTTCTCTTTAAAATTATAATTCAATTGTAAACTCTTATCCATAGATAATGAAGTTGTTGTTGTTGTTAAGGATGATGACAATGATGTTGATGAGGATGAGGATGAAGAGGATGATAATGAATTAGCTGATACTAATAACCAACCAATTGTTGTAATTAATATTAACCAATATAATAAATTTTTTAATTTACCATTATGATTTAATTTTTTAATACAATTTATTAAATCATTAAATATAAGATGAGATAATAAAGCATTACGACGTGATTGATATTTATAACATGGTATTCTAATAAATAAATAACAAAGAAATAAACTATAAGTTAATAATAATAATAATAATAATAATAATAATAATAATAATATATGAACATTGGTATAAAGAGGCACAGAAATCATTCAACTGGTGTGAGAATTGAAGTACTATCTGGGTCACATTCCAAGTCTTTCATCTAAGGGTATAATCCACAAGACAGTGGAACAACGTAAGGATACGTAGTCTTATAGTAGATGATGACCAATAATAGATTCATGCATCTTTTGTTCCATCAGGATTCTAGAGCCCATGTGTTATATCCGGTGAAGATTAAATTACAGGTAACTTCCGAGGACTATTCATGGACTAATATTCTTATTGTATAACTACTCAACAATTACACTATGGATATTTATATTCCTTTTATGATAAGCTTTGTTTTGACCCATAATTTATTATTGTACGATTTACGGTTCTTAAGTTATGTTCAGTTTATTAACTACTGCCTCCCACATTCACAGCCACTTCTTGGGCTTATTTGTGTACAAATATTATTTCCTATTTTATGGTACGTTGCGGTTTGTGTGATTGATATATAAACCAAGTATGCATGAAATAAACGATTCGATTCATATTCGGAAGCTGGTGTTGTGTTCTGTACTCAAGTGGAAGGGCTCGTAGGACATAGGACCAATAAGGACGCTAAACTGCCCACACCGGTTGAACGTCATTGGTTGGCCTAGTGTGAAGATTCGTATAAGTCGTACTCGGATTGGTAGATAAGTCGTGTGATAGAAAAGTCAGACATCCAAGGTCATAACACCATGTGTACCATTGATTTGAAATCAGGGTTTTCCAACTTCTCAAGATAAATCCTTCATATACACTAACCCGGTTAAAGCGCCGAATATTTGCTTGTGTTCCTTTCAATTTCGTAAACAACACCCCCGCCTGGAGTAAGACTTATATGAAAGTGGTTGTATACGTGTGGCTATGTGAGAGCATTTCGAGAAGGAGAGCTCACTCTACCCACTCTCGTCTGTACTAGTGCATTTGGGGGCAAAGCAATGGTTAAAGTTTTCGACTTTTAACTAATAAGTCACAAATTTGAACCTCGCTTTCCAATTGCCTTTGGTTAAGGCAACCGAATGATATCATTAGTTCTAACACTTGGAACATGAGGTGGTGGTTGGAGGTAGTTTATATGAAACTCTGTTTTATGTAGGTTTTATAGTACTTAATACTCATCAACGAAGTGTGTGTATAATTTAGAGGGAACTGATGCTCCCTTATGGATTTGACTTCGTGTCAATCAACTTCACAGTCACAAACGTTACCACTGAGTTATTCGGGTAATGACTGATCTTCTGTAAGACTGAGATGCAATTAAAACTGATTAACCACTGAGTAGTGAACAATCATACTAATCCACCAGTTCCCTCAAGATTACAGGTACACATTACTGATGAGTACCAAATAGCATGAAACCTAGGTCAAACAGAGTTTCTTATAGACTACTTGCAACCACCACCTTACATCTCAACACAGTGTATGCAGTGTCGAGTCTAATCACTCAAACTAGTGACCACAGTGTAACTTTATTGACGGAATTCTATCGGGACTAAGAAGACATTGACTACTACTCAGTGACTCATTATTCATAAATTTTGAGAGTACTTCAAAGCCAACTATATGAATATGTACCTAGTAAACGAGTTAATAGTAATGCTAAAAATTTATACAAAAGTTTATTAGAAACATTGAAGTGGTTGATCTCATTGACTGCATTACTTATCTCAGAAGTATAATCAACCTTGTTAGGTTGGTCCTGACGAAATCTCGTCTAAGTTTTGGCAACTTGCGTCATTTGTAGAGTAGGTGAAGTGTCCGTCTGATAAACAAGGGATGAGTATATTAGGTGACTGTTCGCGTTGTAAATTTACTCTACGGTTGTGAAATATAGTCTATGGATGCGAAGGAGATTTGTAAATTACTAGTATTTGATCATAGATGTCTACAAAGCACTGGTGGTGTATGGCGGCAAAAACAAATAAGCAATCCTGAGGTTAAGTTTAAGGTACCAGGTTTATAGGACCGTAAAACTTTATCAACAAAGGTGGCCGGGTAGCATGCGGTACCTATACTCAACTAGTCTAACTAGATGCGTCATGTTATCTGGGGTAGAAATAGATTGGAAACTAGTACTGATCGAAACAACAAGTGGTAACATTTCATAAAATCATGAACTACTGAACTGGATAATATTGAGGGGGGATGGCAAACCAAAAATGTAGCATAAAATCGTACAGTTACTGATTAATGGTCGATGCAGATTACCTGGTTAAGGTCCACGCAATAATCGTGATTAGTGGTTGGAGACATTGGGTAACATGGTTAAAAGTCTATAAGAGCAGCGTAAATGTATTTGTCTGCTAGACTACCATTGAAAACCTGGAAACATTGGACGGCCGTTTCATTCTAGTACAGGACTCCTCAGAAGTGTGCATTCACGATGGGACTGGGACGCAGAACCTTCGGTTTTACGTGCGAACACTTAACCTTTAGACCACTGAGACGGCATTCAACGATGTTAATGTCTGACTTTAACCGATCTATAATCTTGCGCAACCCTTCATTTATTGCTTGAGGTGGATAACTGTCTCAAACTCGACACGGATTGGACTCCACTGGCCACATCTTCTCACTAAAACTCCAGGAAATTCATCTTAAAACTAGTCACTAGTAAGCTGGATCAATAGTCTAGAAGTTAAGTGTTCGCGCGAGAGACCGACGGTCCTGGGTTCGAGTCCCATGTGCACGATCGTGGATAGCACTGCTGAGGAGTCTTATACAAGAACAGATTTGGCCGTCAGATTTTTGCAGGTTTCCAATAATGGTCTAGCTTAGATCGACTTATGAATCCAACTGTGAGAATATTTAATCTTTCTCACAATAATTGCTACCTACAATTATTTTGGTTATTTTATTATTCAGTTTAATAATTTCATCTTATTACGATGTGATGTGTACTATGACGAACCAGGCGACTGCACACGTTTTATTCCAGATTTTATGTGGATGATAACCAACCGTATGTTTGAAATACATGATACATATGGTGGAAGATGAGATTATATTCTGAACTTAAGTGGGCAGGACTAGAAGAAAAGAACTAATAAAGATTCAAAGTTGGCTCAAGACTCGTCATGCTGGTTAACAACGACTCATTGGTTCAACACTGTGACAAAATCATATAACTTGGTATTCTGATTGTTAATCTTGTCTCGTGATAATTAACAGCGCTAGATAGGATATAACATAAGCGTTCGCGGACGGGACTAAAGGTCTTAGGTTCGAATCTCGCGAAGGCGGGATCGTGAATGCGCACTACCAAGGAGGAGTCCCATAATGGGACAAAACTGTCGTCCTCCACAACCTTATACTGATGAAAAAAAATTTCTTTATTTCAAATTAGAAAATTATTGACTTACTTAAAATGTTGATTATTACATTTTTCTTCTAAATTATTTTGTTTAAATGATAAATAATAACTAGATAATTCATTATGAATCATGATGAACAATTTACAAATACGACATATAGTTGAAGCAATAAATTTATATAAACTACAATGTTCCATAATAGTTGATGTATTCAATGTACCATCAGTAGATAAACATAATTTCTGAAATGTTAAAGTAGATTATATACATTATGAAGAAATGGAATAGATTTAAGTGATTTTTCAACTATTTAGAAATAATTTTTATTTACATAAACATTGATACAAGGAGGCACCAAATACATATGCGCCACATAAATCATTCGACTTGCATGAGGGTTGAGATACTGTCTGGGTGCCCAGAGCGAAACAAGTGGCTTTCTTAGAAGGCCACAACCAGAGCCTTCGACATAAAGGTCTGATTCACAAGGTAATGGAGCAACGTCAGGAGATGGAGTCTTATGGTAGCCGGTGACCAACAACGTGTTCATACTCCATTTGTTCCTTCAGGATACTGAAGCCTATATGCACCATTGGTTTGGAATCAGGGCTTTCAAACTCATCTCACCTAGGTGGACTCTCCGTGTCCACTAACCCGGTTAAAGTAGGATTTCCGTGGCAGTGGCTTTATGCACGTGGCCGTTTGAGAACATTCGGAGTGTGAGAGCTGACTGTTCCCACTATCGGCCGTACTAGGGCATTTGGGGGCCATTTAGAAATAAAGTTAATTTCAGTAGTGAATACTGGTTAAAACCTGTTTGTTTTTTGTGACACTTATGAACTATTCGGTGAAGGAGGGATTTAACGTTGAACAAGATGATCTCGTATATTGTTAGAAGTATGCGGAAGGTTGTCACATCCTAACCACTCACGCAGTAGAAGGATATTTCTTCTGGAGAGACCTGAGAAAGAAACTGGATTAGTAGTGTTCGTAATGATCTGAGAGGGTGACCGCAGAAGAAGTACTTGATGCTGGTCAAGAACGGCTTTTTTTATGGGACATTCTTGATGTGTTAGCTCCTTACTTCAGGAGGCCTTACCATCGAAGATGGACATCTCTGAGGTAGGATAAGGTTTGACATTATTAGATTCAATCTTCTTAACCCTTTCCTTTCGTTGTGAGAAGGCAGGAAATCACTCCAGATGCTGGTTGTCCAAGGGAAATACCTTCCTACCCCAAACCTCAGTTTTATGTTACATAGCACCTCTCAACAATGTGTACCTGTAATCATGAGGGAACTGATGCTCCCTGTGTGATTCAAACCCAGATTGCCCAGTTTCCCAGAGCGAGATGTCACCATTTAAATATTAGGGTCACAACTGATATCTTGAGGGGGGGGTTGAAGTATTTACTATTGATTGATCAAACAATCTCATGCTTGTCTAATCGTCAGTGGTAGTTTAATTTTACCTATCAGGTTGCAATGTAGCCACTAGTTTAACTGACGACATAGAATACACCATCTTGAGATATTAAGACATTGGCAGTAGCCAACCGAAAAAAAACATACCTTATTCGGTAAATCCAGTGGAGAAACATTTTGAAACTCGTCATTTACAACAGTTTTTGGCAATAAAGAAGGTAACAATTCTTGTAGATAAATCTGAAAGGATTAATAAGGAGTAAGTAGTATACAAAATATTTTTAGCAACAATGATTTTAATAGTCAATAATTTATTTGAAAACACCCTTCCTTACACAATAACTGTATACTTCTCTTAAATCATTCATACAGTTGACTGTGAGCTGCATTCCAAATGTAAGGGGTTAATAATACTAGTCAGTTGATCAAACCACATTAAACAGAGAAGAGATGAAACCTGAAACTAAGTGATGGAAAGTTGAATGCCATAACTACTAAGCCACCATTTCAATCTATGGAATAGTTGTAACTGTAAATAAGATCATTCGCCTGCTGATATTCTACTAGTGTAAGTAATTTATCAAACATTTAAAACCAGAAACTTGTCACTGTCCTACTAGTGTGACTACAGATAAGTTCCTAGGAAAAACTGATCACATTTCTTGAATGCTTTTCAATAACAAGAAATGCTTTTTCTATAAGACAGATTAGTATGAAATGCAGATATTGTTAGGTTACTGATCTATTCTAACCGAGGATTTTCAAGAAATATAAAACGATATTGAGTAATCCCTGATGTGATGTTCTTTTGATGATCAAAATATATTTTTACTAAATGATCAACATCCAATTGTAGCTGTGATGTTTTACATACTGAAACACTACGTTTGTCGAGTTGATATTCAAGCTATAATCATTTGACATTAATAAATCTTCATACATTAAATCATGAATTGAACACAACCAGATCATCAGTGAAAACCAGGAAGCACTGAACAGTTGTTTCGAACTGATATGGGACTCAACAGCAGCAGGCATCCACGACCACACCACCTGGAATTGAACGCTTTGCCTACAGACCACTGAACCAGAATCCAATGGCGTATATGTCTAACAATAATCAACTCACAATATTGCGCGACCCTCTTCCATTGCCGTCCATAACTGTCTCATATCTGACATAGTTGAGCCCTACTAGCCGCGAGTCGGATAGGTACTGCAGGTACGTCCCATACCAGAACAAAACAGTTGTCCAATGGCTCCTGGTTTTCAGTGGTAGTATAACTAAGATCAGTATGTGATTTAACCTATGAGAATCTAGCAATCTCTCGACACGTTTATACTGTTAATAAGTCTCACTGAAATCATGAACCGATCTAAGTTAGACCACCATTGAAAACGTGTAGGCACTGAACGGCCATTTCGTCAAAGTATGAGACTCCTCACCAGCGAGTACCCACATTTCCAAATGTAAGGGTCGAAACCAGAATCTCCAGTTTCGTGAGCGAACACTCAACCTCTAGATCACTGGGACGAAATCTAACGGTGTTCATATCTAACTTCCATCAACCCATAATATTGCACGACCATACTCCATTGTCTTCGGTGGGTAACTGCCTTACACTCGACACAGATTAGTTCCACTGGTCACGGCTTTTCACTAGAACTCCTTAAATTCCCTCTCAAAGCTAGCCACTAGTGAGTACATGATAATTTTCAGTCTAGTGGTTATAGAGATTGTTGAATCTCATTGAAATCATGAACAGACAAATCTGTTTAAAAGGATTCATGTCAGTAACAGTGTAAAAATAAATATATCATATCACCCCTACTCAAAGCTGTAAATTACCTTAGTTGATGCTACATGTCTAGGGAATTTAGCCAGCATACCAGGTATACTAGGTTCAGCATTTAAAACAAGCAATAATACTGTAAGATAAGCTGGATCTTCTTTCACTGGTTCCGGACCATTCAACCATGAATGTGTTCGTAATAGACTGGATAAACAAGTTTCAACAAATATTGGATGGTTTCTACCCACAGAAGCAGCGCATCTATAAAAATAGGACAAATGTTAATGATCAAGTTAATTAAAGTAAACCATTGTGTGATTGAATAAAAATAATAAAGAGAATTTTCTTTTCGGTAAAACCATTTACCTCAACTATACATTTGATAACTGTATAGCATACAAGGGAAGCATTTTTATAATTGAGGAACATATGGAACCCAAGACAATTGTCAACCAACGTCAGAGTTAGAATTTTCAATACAAACGTCAAGACAATTCTATTGTACGAAGCTGAAACTTGGAGAACTACAATAACTATCATCAGAAATGTCCAAGTACTTATAAACAATTTCTTACACAAAAGGATTGACCAGGACAGAGTTGAATAGGGAAAATCGATGGGTGGCCTATTCTCCTTCACGAGGGGTAACGGGTGTAAGTATAGAAGACTAAGAAGAGAATACATCATAAAATGACCCGAGATTGCAAATATCAAAAGAAGGTTACGTAATAGTCAAATGGTTAAAGATGAATAGGGGGATGAAAATCATTTACAGGTTGGAAATATAACAGATAATTGTTTACTTGACAGATATAAAGAAGGAATAAACAACAACAAGACTATAATTACAACTGAATAGTAATGAAAAATTGTTAAATGATAACAAAAACTGGTTACGGTTTAAAAGGAGTACGAAGTAATGACAGAAACAAGCAAACAAACACAAAGACCAAAACCTACTGAAAAAGGACATTAAAGTCATGGAAGGATATGAGGTTGTAAGTATTGTTTTGCACAGAGTTCAGGCTTGAATTGATGGATCGTCAAAACCTCAGCAGTGCATAAGTTTTCGATTCGACCTTTTGATTTAATAGATTACTTTAAAGCACGACTATTTTGGAGTAGTGTACCCAGAATTGATTAGGTACTACTGTATTGAGCTAGTGATAATTTTGCAATCCCCTCTTAAAAGCCACACTAGGTAAAGTCCTGAAGAGTATTTGAAAAGTGATCCCTTTGTGAAGCCAATGTAATCTACCCCATAAGAGCAGATAAATTTATTGATGCACAAAGCGAAATCTTACCTTTAATACATCCGTAAATGGTAGGCCGGCTTGAGGAGACAACCCCTTTCGATATTTGCAACTTCAGATCACTTTATGATGCAATCTCTTCTACATTTCCCTAGATTTATATATTTATCAAGCAACTATAAATACGAATATACAGCTTAAATGAATGGCTAAGTTGATGTCATTTACTGAATACACATTTTATGTGGTTGAAGCTACACCTCAGTTAGGGTTAGTCTCGAACAAATGTATGTTGGCATAAATTGTCATGTCACATTACGAAAAAGAGATGAAATCAACAAAACGAGTGGCAAACAAATCGAAATAGTATTAGCATCAGTGATAGTGAGGAAGATTAAACATTAGAAAATACTGTCCGAAGAGACAGGAGAGCTTGAGGAACAAAACATACAAAATAATATTGAAGTTTAGGATTTTAAGGGGAAATAAAAAGTAAATACATTTGCATCATCGCATACAATTTCGAGCTATCATTAAAGGTCTCTAACCTTCAGTTGCAACAATTGTGTAAACTCCAACCACGTAGTGCGGAGCTACCCACAAGGCTCAATTCAATAGTTGACTTCGTAAAGAGATGTCACATCTCACCTTGACTGCTTTTAGCCCTCGCCCAACACATTTCTACCCCATCCAACAATGAGTGTCAGGACAAGCGGGTGTTTGGCATTCATAATACATTTCCTAACCCAGGAGATAGTGGCCAAATACGGCTGTGTAAACTGAGGTACATGGTGCGAGGTACGAACCTACGCACTACAAGTTGGAAGTCAAGTGCGTCAGTCATCAAGCCACTGCCAAAGTCAAAAAATATGAAAGAACTACCGTGAGATGAACCACAGAAAATACGCTAAACAATTATCCTGATGATAATGCAGAAGTAAGCAACCCGTTATTATGCTAGATATGTGAAGGAAACTAACTAATTTTACTAAATATAGAATATACTAAACTTCGCTCACCTCCATAAATTATCTCTATCTTCTGGATATCGTCTTAAATTTTGTAAAAGTCCATCCAGTAAACTAATTAGACAAGGAGCCGAAGCTAAACGACACTGTGATAATAAATGATGCAGCCTTCGTCGAATACGACCAGATCCTTCAGCAAGAGCTGATGTAATAATGGATACTTGTTCACTTTTTACAGGCACCTATAAAATGCAAATAATATCGCTAAAATATCGCACTGAAATCACGAAGCGATCTAAGTTAGACAACCATAGAAAACCGGGAAGCACTGGACGGTTGTTTCGTCCTAGTATGAGACCTCTTAACGGGGCGAATCCACAACTCGGCAACCTAAAATTGGACTGAGAACCTTCGGTCTCGTGTACGAACACTTAATCTCTAGACCAATGAGCTGGTAACCAGAGGTGCGCAAGTATGACTTAAATCAATCCAAGATACTACGTGGTCGTCGTACATTGTCTTCAGTCAGAAGCTTTCTAACATTTGACACGGTTTAGCTTCGTGATTCCAATGAAATTCAACAAAATCGCCAAACCCTTACTCAATCGTTAGAGATTCAAAGCCTCATCAATTAATTAGCCATTTCTAATTAGTATTCTGCAATTAACTTCATTTCATACTCCGTTGTTCCATGGTACGCCAGCAATGTCCTGAAGAACATGAAGCATGTTCTCTGCTCTCAAGGGTCATGTTTCACGGTCACGAAGTGAAATGTTGCACAATATACTCGTGTTCTGATCGGGAGACATCTTGCTCACGCCACAAATGGTGCAAACTTCCAAGAGCAAAGCAATAGTTTGTCAGCCATTACGACTGATGAAACTTTCTAGATGAGTGAAGTGATCAGTGCACTCAACTGCTCTGCTGTTTATAGAGATTTATTGAGTGTAAAGATAGATTTGACCACAAACAGAGAATGAAGGAACAGTAAATATGTTTCTTTCTAGCATGAGCCAATTTCCATCTACGGCCAAATCATACAGAACTGAAACTTCAAGACGTATAGTCAGGATTGAGCACGATACTCTGATTTTATTTAGAATTTTCCCGGAAGTCATAGCTCTGGGAATATTCCGACTAATCCAAGAGAACGAATGGTTACGCTTTCCGTATTCTGACTGAAGAATTGCAGAATTTAGCTTCTTTTCTCGAAGCGTCCAAAATTCCAAGGTAATCACCAGCCTATTAACGTACCCCTTTTCCATATATCAACCAACCTTAAAAGTGGAGTTTTTCTATAAATTCCACCTTTCGATTCTCGTCCAGAGTTTTAGAATGATAGACTTGTGGCGACTACAATAACGGTAAGAAACCAGCGACAACATGACTAAAAATAATGGATGTGATTAACGTATAGCCTTAAATTCAAATTTAATAACATTTCTAATGTTGGCATGGATTTCTTGAAGTTCGAGTTAAAACTAACATATCTGAATGTCTTGAGTAAAATCATTTTGTGTAGGATTTTGTTGATTCACCGTACCGCTGAAAAATGGAAAAGGCAGTCGCCTAGTGCCCCTTGGTTTTTTTCAACGACTTTTCAGCTGTGATGTCATACTTTCAAAATAATTAATTAATCAACTGGTCGTTACGGTCAAGTTTACTCTAAAGAAATAACTGGCTTTTGTCAACCTGCGTCACTTGTGTCATAGGAGAGATATTCATCTGGCAAACAACAGTCCACTCCTAGTCAAGAAATGATGAAATTCAATTATAACCTAATTTCTATACATCTTTAAATCAAACACATTACATTTAGTATTTATTTAACTGACACACTTTATACACATGTAACTTAAATGGTAGTAGTAGTAGTAGTGTAGTTGAGGGGTTTCATGGAGATCGACTTAATTAGTAGGTTGTATTTACGATTACAGATTGATCTCCATTAGGGTACCATCGAAAACAAAGGAGCATTGGATAGCTGTTTCATCCTAATGCGAGACTCCTCAGAAAGACCTGGTTACGACCTCACAAGGGAACTAACGCAGGACCTCCCAGCCTGCCAGCGATTACTTAATGACTGGGTTGAGATTCAACAGCATAATGTTAGCTTAAATCAATTTGTGTTATAGTTATTCCCATTCATATCAACTGTTTCATTCTCCCACGTCCAAACACCAGCAGTCAGGCCTCCTCACTAGAGCTTTAGGAGTAACTTGAGGTAAGTCACTAGCTGGCTGACTATTACAATTTAGATGAAAGGATGGCAATCGTTGGGTTACAATGCACACTGAACCATTTAATACCGACCCAATGGTCCTAATGGTTAAGCGTTCGTCACGATGCATGAAGGTCCAAGGTTCTACCACTGGTTTGGCCGCTAGTGGGTATTTCCAAAAAGGTCCTATATAAGTAGTAATAGTGATAGTTTAAGTAGAAAGACGTAATAAAGAAATTATCTCGTTCAAACTAACCTTATCACCAACGACACTTAAAGCTCGAACAGCTGCCAATCGTACATCTTGTATATCATCAGTTAACATGTCAACTAAGAGATCTTGACAATTTAATGCGAATCGAGTATTGAGGGATGCAATATGCGTAACTGTAGCTAACGTAGTACATCGTATTTCTGTTCGGCAAAATAAGGAAAATTAAATAGAAACGATGAATATGATTACGTATTACTTTATCTTAAAAAAACAATTTTCAACAGGGATGTAAAACAAGCTTGAAGAACTGGAAGCTAATTGTCCCACAAATGCCCTGGTACGGCCGACCGTGGGAGAGTTAGCTCTCCCTCTCGAAACGCTCTCACATTACCATGAGTATACAGCTGTCAGAGAAGTCCTACTTACTACCTTCTCGCGACATCACTGCTGTTTATGAAGTTGAGAAGACGAAAAGCAAACATCAGGCGCTTTAACGGAGTTAGCGGACACGGAGGATCCATCTAGGGGAGTTGAAAAACCCTGATTCTAAACCAATGGTGCACATGGGTCCCAGGGTCCTGAAGGAAGAAATGGCGTATGAACCAAGTATTGGTCACTGGCTACCATGCGACAGCATCTCCTAACATTGCTCCACTGCACTGTGGATCAGATCTTTGGGTCGAGGGCCACCTACGTCGGTCTGGGTACCCAGACAGTAACACAGTCCACACACAAATCAAGTGACTTGTGTGGCGCATATGTATTCTTTTCCCCTTTGTATCAGTATTTGTGTTCAATTAAATAAATAAACCATGAAACCGTATCTCCTAATGTTGCTCCACTGCATTGTGGATTGAACTTCTGGGTGAGAGGCTCGGGGAGTGACTCCTTAAGAAAACCACCTGCTTCGGTTTGGGCTCCTGGACAGTATATCAGCCCTCATACAAATTGAATCATTTGTGTGGCGCATATATATTTGATGCCTTCTTGTACCAATGTTTATGTGTTTAAATAAATAAGTAAGACCACTTATTTAACACTATTAATATAAGTTCGAAATACCCGATTGCTGATATTCAGGAAAAGATTTCAGGTCAGGCGTTTCTGGAACTCGTGTTGCCGCAATAGATTGCCTGGATACAGCCATTTTGCCACAAGACTTCTGAGACAGATGGAGTCTCAATACGGACATAAACACTAGGATGCTGACGAGCCCAAAACAGGACGAACTGAGGGTCCTGGATTCGATCGCTAACCTCAATCTGTCTAAAAGACATCTATTTATCAGTTTAGACTTTAGAAATAATAAAACAGTCCGAACAGATATTTAACTTTGTTAGTGAGACGGTGATTCGATTAAATCATATTCCAGACAGAAGCACGATGATTGACCTATTTTTAACCAACCAGGACTAGTAGGCAAGAGAAGACTAGAATCTTCTCGCGCAAAAATTATAAATACACTGACATTTTTCTTACTGTTTTGTTTGGAAGCAAAACCATGATTATTGACATTTTAATAATGTTTATTTATCTAGTTAAACACATAAACATTAGTACAGAGGAGCACCAAAATATATGTGCACCCTTCGAAATATCATCGAACTTGTGTGTGAGCTGGGATGCTCCTTGAGGGGCCACTATCCGAGACTTTCACCTAGAAGTACAATCCACAAGACAGTGAAGCAACGTCAGGAGATGCCGTCTCAAAGTATTCGGTGGTTAAGAGGCTAAGAATACGTTCGTATGCCATTTGTTCCCTCAGGATACTGGGGCCTATGTGTACTATTGGTTCAGACTCGGGGTTCTCCAACCCCCCTAAGTGAATGTTCTGTACCCACCGACCCGGTTTAAGAACTGGATATTCATTTTCGTTATCACAGTTTCTCAAGGAACACTTTTGTAGAGAGAAGATAATGAATGGGACTTCCTTAGGAGTGGCTACATAGGCGTGGCCAAATGAGAGCATTTTGAGGGGAAAAGTGCACCCACCCCAGCGTCGGCCATACCAGGGGATTCGGGGGCTAAGTGTATTTAATCAGATATTTTACGATATCGCGCACATATATATGTATATAAAAAACAATTTACCAAAATAATCATCTTCCAATCCGCTTATGATAGCTCCATTACAGCCAGTCGATATTAAATTAATAGAATCTGAAGTAAGATTTTTAGTTTGTAAACGGTTGTCCACTGTGGAACGTAGACTGTTGTTGTTGTTACTTTTGTTCTTTCTGTCCTTCGACTTATTATCACCTTCCATCATAGATCGACGTACTTGCCGGTCGGACATGACTGTTTTCTCCAATGTTTGTAATAAACAATTTTCTGTAACAAACTTTTCAAAAACAAGACGAAGAGTACAAGCAGAATAACATGACGATGGTAGGATAAAGGTCAAATTTGAATATTTTCCTAACAATGTCTGGTACAGTGGGTTATATATACGTATAAGGCTTATCCAGTATAGCTTCTCTCTTAATCTCGATCTTCTCACTTAGGTAGCCGGTAGGACTTGTATATAGGAAACTCGTATATCAGTATTAAAACTAGATACAGAACAACACAGGTGTTCTTCATAAAGTAGCCTCGCTTAGAGTTAGGTAAGACGTCCACTTATAAAATTCATTCATCAATTTAAATGTATAATGAGGACGAAATAATGTTAGGAAAATGCGGACGATGGTGTTCACGAGAATTGCTGAGTATATGTTTCAGAACGTTTGTGCTTCAGTGAATTTTATTCATAAGCAATAAATATGTATTACAGAAAATATAAATTTATTAGAGTTATCATTGTCAAATGAGTGCAGCTTGAACTGTACACTCAGAAGGAAAGCGTTGTTAAGTTTTTACTGTCACGATGAAATGTCACCGCTTTTTAATAATTACAAATTTAGAAGTATAAACTTTCAGCTCCATTTTCTGGATCAAATATGAAGTGTCTAAGCTTCGTGAAAAAAGCCCAACAAATAACATATTTCATGGTTAATAGATTTACAATATTCTAGCAGGAAAATATAAAATGGTAGGTTGGTCAAGTCAGGAAAACAAATGGATAAGTTTAGACGACACTGGAGAATGATTAAACACAGGATTACAAATTAGATGGAGTTGAGAAAGTGGTGACTTGTGAAATTTTGAACCAAGAATGAAATAGTAGCACCCGCTACGAGCCCTATATCTGGGTGTTTAGCTTCTCGAAGTCCAGAAAGTTTTCTGTAAAACTCATTTTTTACTTTATCCGGACTGCAGTTGATAGGAAAGTAGGCGGGAATGACGAAAAGGTAACGGCATGTGTCCCTATCCTCTGGAGGTCTTACAGAACCGTTTGGTCAAACAGCATACAGACGGTTGTTAACAGGGATCCATTCTAATAGTGCTTGTTCTGCCCTCATACTTAGTGCTATGCTAGTCCACGAGAACTAGCCATCGAGTCACCAGATAAACGGAGAGTGTATCTTGTCAGTTCCCTGTTTTGGCTAGCAGGGTCAAGTGAATGACCACACTAGAATCTTGTATGCGTGTTTCGGAGACACAGTGTGCATCAATGATACGAGATTTTATAGCCAAGGAGGCCTGCTGGCCGATTTGACATAGGGTACGTACATTGAAGATTCCAATTTGCAGTTTAGAGAGAGGTTTTAGTAGACCTAGGACAGTATTTCGCGCACTGGAGTTGTTGACCATGGTGGCACTTGAGAAGGAAGTTTATAATTGGTAGTCGAGGTAGGAGGAATAATAAGAATCGAAGAGGGAAATGGGTTATAAATACAGTGGTTTTGAGTGATGTTAGAGGTATGAGGGCGGTTTTCACTTCCCGGTTGCCCACAACATGAAAGGGTTCTTCTAGAGGTACCTGAAAAGGAGATTGTGTTAGAGTTGGTTTTATTGACCTCAGTGCGTGACTGCGGTGCCCAAGGGACAACTATTCGAAGCAAGTCACACACGAACTTGTGTTAGCTCTGTACTTGTTGAGACCTTACCGCCGGAGACAGAAATCCATGGGATTAGGCGAGATGTGTATTTTTAGGGTCGACGTTTTGTAATCCCACCCTTTCTTTGTTGGAAGGCAGCATCGCTGTCATGCTTGAAAGATATGTATGAAGGAATAATGGGATTCAACATTCGTAGGACGATAAAGAGTGGACCTGTGCCACTATGAACTATTCTGAGTCATGTTACAGTCTCTAGTCACCGATTGTGGTTATAGCGCGGACCCTAACCAGCTATTTTGTACCTATCTACATGCCTCAGATCAACGGTCAACGGCCCCATTAAAGCTTGGCTCTCATAAGTTTTCTTTCAACTTATTTCTCCACCAGTAAACCACTGGTCGGGGTAGACAGTGGTTGAGCATACTTAATAAATGCCCTAACCACCTCAGTTGATGAAGATTCACTACTTAATTGGCAACCAAACACGTAACTCTCTACATATTACTAACAACTTACTTTAGCCAGATCAGCCATTATGTGAGCAGCCAACTGTCTAACACTTCGACTAGGATCTTGAAGTCGACAACACACACGAATAAAAGCATCATCAACTAATTGAGTTTCTTCCAAATCAGAGTCCAGAAATATTTTTGATGATACTAACGAATTCAAACTGAAGACAGGAACATCTGTCAAACTACGATGCGCCCAAATAGTACTCAACTTTCCAAGAACATGTAAACTAGTTCGACGGACCTGTAGGATGATATTATAATAAATTTTTAATATAAAAATCAAATGATCTTAATCTGAATAAGACTTTCAAATAATATATATATATATATATCACTAAAGCATCCGAAAACAAATTGATGCTACCATGTGGACTCAGTAGAAAAATTTGAGCCATAATAAACAACCAAACATAATACATCCAAGGAAGTACTATGATTGTTAGTGATCTCGAATTTTATAGATATATTAGACATCATGAGTCATTAATTTTTTACCAAATGGATTACGATGTATTGTTAGATGTAAATCATATTTAATTCTCTAACAGAATACAAAATCACGAAATAATACCAGGCAGTGAGACTGCTATATTGATGCTTGTCATTGAACTTGGTATTACTTACTTTATCCCAGTTCAAATAACTCAGAGCACTCTTACAACGTTAACGCTCCTGAAGAGACCCTAATAACCCAACAAAGTACATTTTAACCCTCTAGAGCAAATGAATTCAGTAAAATATCATTCTCTAGTTCGCCTATTGAGATCATTTTGTCCTGGTGAAGAACCGATTCCATAAGCGTTCACTTCAACATAAGACCTAAATAGAATACTTATTATTCCAAGTTGACTAACCTCATATCGTCACATCAACAGAAGTTTACAAGATGAGGAGCAAAGGGATGGAAATTATATCAATCTCAATGAAAATCCGAACACTGGGAATACCGAGATGAAAGGATAGAAATTAAACGTAATATTTAGGCATTCAGTTAACTGGAGAGTAGATGACTTACGGTCGTGATATCCTCCGAACGTTTACTTGTTAAACTACTGATTATCCTTTGATGTTAAACCATCTAAGGGCTTACGTCAATTATCCAATCTCATGAGCAGCCAACAATCGATCGCACTGTATTAGTGCATATTATTAGTTGATCGGCACATTTTATGCATTAACTAAACAATCGTAAATGTCTTGTCATCATTATAAATCATTAAGAGCTAATTCGTAACAAATATAGTACAAAAGGAATAAATAAGATGGAAAAATGAAAATCTTGGAATGATACTTCGAATTTAGAGGGGCATCGCAAATTAATCCTACTGGACATGATATCATGCCATGTCACTCAAATGTCTACAACCGAAACATACAACTGATGCACAAGTCCTAATTGAGAAATGCTCAGTTGCCACAAATTCAATTCAACAAACTTTCCCTCATAATACATTATAACTATAATTGATTCCGCTTATAAATACAATGAACGGTTATTAAACATTAACCTGAGAAATACACTAAGTCTTGAGATTAATTTATTCCAGACTCGAGAAATATATTGAAAAGGACTTAATTTTCGGAGCTACCAAGAAATATTTTGAAATTTTCAGTTGGATTCTTCACGAAAATATTAGTTTAGTCTATGATTACTTAGCAAACAAAATATAGATAACGTACTACACTATACTAACTACCTCGAGTAAGAAGGTACAGATAAGCTCATTTCTTAACAAAATGAGCTAAAACAACGTGTATTTACTAAAATAATGGAGGTATAATCACAAAATCTTACCAACTCTTCATTATCTAGTAACCCTTGACAAGCAGCTGAATAAACAGACTCCAGATTCGCTTCAAACCACCCAGTCAACTCCTTTTTTGCAGACTCTTTATGGTTGTTGAAATACTTTGCTTTCCCTGGACGACTAAACTCACTAGATTTCAAGACGGCGTTGAGTGAACATAGCCACGTTAAGAGACAATGGAAAGAACGATCACGTACTCTGGGATCACCATCCGCAGTATGCCACAGCACAACTTCACCAGCTGAACCTGCACTCAGACAAATTTGTGGACTGTTCCATCCAGCTAGAAGGTCAAGACACCCAGAGCGTACGTGGGCAGATGGACACGCGAATGCCTATTCAAAAGATGACAGAAGGTTTACAGTATATTGTGACATCCATCATAGATATATTTCTATAATGCTACCAATAAGTATAAACAGTTTGGTTTCCTAGGTCCAATAGTATTCAAATAAGTCGATAAAGATCCTAAGGAAAACGGATCACTTAGAAACATCCTAACCCTTATAACTGAATCCGAATACAGTACGAATATTACCTGAGTAGAAAGCTTTCATAAAACTGGCACTTCGCTTAATATCCCTTGCATGTTGACGTTGATCAAAAAGGACTTCTATACGGATACTCCTGTGAAATACTAACTTCTATTGTGTAAGCAACTGGGATATATTAGTCAAGTACTCTCTACCAACAAAAAAAAACAGACTACTTGTGTGCATAACGCACTATCATATCGCACTTGTCATATCGTAGAACTAGAGGTGACTTTATTAGTTTTCAAATTGCTTAGTGATAAATTTGCACCTGAAATGCCCTTATTTTTCTTATCTTCCAAAACAGAGGATTTACGAGGACACTCCAAAAAAGTTCACAAGCTCAGAACAAATTACTTGTCAGCTGACTATCGACTTTCCCATCGAGTCATCGAGCGGAATTCATTACCTCAGCACGTGGTTGAGGCTCCATCCGTCGACTCTTTCGAAAGAAAGTTGGATCAACTGAGAGATCACAATTGCCAGGACTAACACAGGCCATCAAGCCTCCTGTCCTTTCCAAATTGAAACTGAAACTAAAATTATGCCATCACAAGTTACAGATATTCTAAGCAGTGTAAAATTTAGAAAACTGATTCACGAATTAGGAGTGGTAGACTGTTGTTGTTCTCAATAGGACTGACTGTCATTGAAAATTAAGTGTGCTGATAAGATATAAAAGTCACGAGTTCAGTCTTTAGCAATTATGAGAGTAGGCCGTTCATTAACACAAGCTACAATAATTAATGCTTGTAGCTTGCTATATAATGACTGAGCAGAAGCGATATATTTCGTACACTGTACTTTGAACACACATGATATAAAAAGCTAAAATAACTTTTGTGAGTCATGGTATTTATCCTTTATTGTCAGAGTAACACTCATCAAAACTCTAAATTCCCCGACTATTAATGTCTTTTTAATACCTCATTAATTACTCCTAACACCGATAGCTCTTGAGTAGCAGTTGGTGGGAGAGCCCGTAACCTCGTTAGGAACTTTTCACACTCTGAGATCAACATTAATTGTAACCCGCCTACCGCTTGACCTTGGAGAGGTCACAACTCTCCCTGTCTAAAGTGTCAGGAAACCGCTGGGTGATTAGAGTCTTCAACTGGGTCGTGGCAGGATGTCCTTCATTTCAGAAATATGTGATTCATGTTATATTCTGTTTGAGACTGAGGAGGAAAGGCGAACAAATCGATAGCAAGAAAATGAACCGCGAAGCGGTATTTTTAGTAATCTCTTTTTACTAGTGAAACCTATGTAGACGTTGAACCTTGTTTCGAAATATTTGAACATAAGGTACCGTCACTGATGCTTCCGTCAAGGAGTTCTACTGTCTACTGAAGCGAATAACATAATAGCTCGCACAACTTTTTCAGTTTCAGTTTTTTACGGCGCGCTATCTAAAAGGACAGTGGTATTGTTTCTCGTTGAGTTAATTAACTGTTTTGATCGTAAATTACGCATCAAAACTACTGTTTACACTTTAATTGTATCTACTCCAGTTAAAGTTATATTGTATTGAGTGTTTAGACTTTGCTTTTGTGTATTTATTGCATCGAAACATACTTGGTCGACTTTACTTGATTTTTTTAGTTAAGGTTTGAAAATTCCTTCACATATCCTGTTTGTGTCACCATTGTGGTTGATTTTCAAGATGGCCAGCTCTGCTCATAAATTTGCACGACCATATCGCTTATTTCCCGTGGAGGAAGGTATGCAATGTGATGAGTGTAATAAGTGGTTCCATATGATGTGCACTCGATTAAGCCCCACTGCATATAAAAGGTGCTCAAAGCCCAACTCTCATTGGCTTTGTGGTTTTTGTTGCTCGAGAAAAACACTACCCATCCAGGAAGCAATTGGCCTCCTGGTGTTGGCTAATAAGAAGGTTGATGAGGGCTGTGCTGGTATGATTGGTACTGTTGGCGAAGATTGCGTTAGTGTCGTAAGTGCTGGCAGGGCGCAAGCCAAGCATCTAACTGTGCAACCCGCAATTAAACCTACCCCGAAACAATCAATGGGCGACACCTCATTAGATTTTGGTGGCCATGTTGCTACAGCAGCAACCGGTTATCCAGATAAAATAATTACTGTCTCGGATAGTTCTAACGTAGATGCCACGACTGACGGAATATGGGTGACGAAGAAGCGCAGAAGAGTAGAGGAGATAGCCCAAACTAATGACCGTTTACTTGATAAGTCCTTGGTGGACTCTCAGACCACTCCACCAAAGTCCAAAAGTAAAGCCTCGTCTAACATTGTTGTCAGTCACTCGCTCGACTCCCATGACTCTGTTGCAATAAAAACTAATCGTAAGATACCTGTAGTTAATATACAGGATCTAACGTCACGATTGAAAGCTGTGAACACGATTTCAAAGAAGCTAACTCCTTCCTAGTTAAATTATTTAGAATCTAGAGGAGCCGAAAGACAATTACTCTGCTAAGAGACATGCACATGATCTACAGTTAGTGGAATCCGTGGTAAGAAATCTACTACCTAACGAGGTTCAAGAGGTACATATCACGAAATTAATACGACTCGGCAAATGGGTTGGAGGCGAGACCCAACCAAGAAGAATCTTGAAACTGGTTCTCGGGAATTTAGAGAAGAGATATATTATCGAAAAACGCACCCAAAACTCGTGATTCAAATATTCGCTTGAGGATCGAATCAAGTGGAAGAATGCTCTTAGGGAGTTGAGAACTCGCGAGTTAAATGGCGAAACTAACCTTACCATTAAGGGTTTTCGGATAGTCAGGTCTTGATCAACGCTTCGAGCCCTGTATGGTAGAACGAATGATTACCAAAACGCCCTAAGTGTGTGCTACACAAACGCTCGTAGTCTAAAAATACAACGTCCCACGCGTTATAGCTCTGCCAGGAAGTTATACTCACTGCCTTCTCGTGTCGGGGGTGTTGTTTGCGAAAATGAGAGGACGAAAAGCGAATGTCCGGCGATTTAACCGGATCCCAAACCAAACCATTGGTGCGCATGGGCTCCAGTATCCTGTGGAAACAAATGGCGTATGAAGCAGTCTTTAGTCACCGTCTACCATGAGACAGCATATCCTTACGTTGCTCCACTGCATTGTGGATCAGATCTTCGGGTCGAAGGCTCGGGGAGTGGCCTCCTAAGAAAACCACCTGTTTCGGTTTGGTCACCCGGGCAGTATCACAGCCTTCACACATATGAAATGAGATTTGTGTGGCGCATATGTATTTGGTGCCTTCTTACACCAATATCTTTGTGTTAAAATAAATAAATAAACATCCTTGTCATGTCTCCTGAATAATTGGATTCAATCCTATGAACTAACGTGAGAGGTAATTCAGGTGGTAAAGATTGGGTTAATCAACCATTCGAACGATATCTACATGTCGAATACGAAATTCATAAAGAATCACGGCATAATTACTCTTGGATCGAAAAACGATTTAAAAAATTCACAAAAGTGGTTCATGAAATGTATGAGGTTGATCCCTACGGGTTAAACTCCAACCGATTACATAAACAACTATTCTAGCCCCCGGTAGTTGCTGTACTTCGGTGCGGCCTGATTTTCTCCAGAAGAGCCTACTAGGCTTCATCAACTTATTTGACTGGAAGGGGGGGGCAACCTGAGAGTCGAACACAATACTGTTTGCTTTACACTTCACTTACCTAATGAGATTGATTAATAACAGTCCTTAATATTAATGGAAAGATTCGAACAAATAATATAAGAATGTATTTGACAGTTTTTTCATCCTAGTACGAAACTTACGAAGGATTTACATTCATGATTCTGCCATAGACAATCAAAGATAAGACAATTATTATAGCACACAAATGTTTGAACTTTAGACCGCTGAATCACCTACCGGCAGTGGCGATTTCAATAAGACATTTATTATGTATGCATATGTGTTTCATTCTATTCAATACTCGCCAGTTAGATGCACCTCCACTACAGTACTACCAAACAAACGAAAAGACTTTCGTTTATTCATCGAGTTACTGGGATCCAGTAACAAGTCACTTGAATCATGTTTATACTATGAATCATTTCATTGTTGATATTGCAGTTCGAGATTCAGTCACCCATTGTTAGTATATCCACATCCTGTCTGTATACAATCACTCGATCCACCTGGTTTTAAGAACAAAACTCTTTATGCTACCAAAGACGTAGGATCTATGGTTATATATCGGTTGAGGAAGAATTTGACATTCTCAGAAAAAACATTATCTATTCAAGTCATTTCGAAGAGAAGAATATGAAAGGAAAGTGGAAAAAAAGTAGTATGGGAACGTAAGAATCGGTTATCGATAGCTATTAATAGAAGCATACATGGATGTTGGCTAGCAGTGGAATTCAGCACACGCATTTCGTCCTATTTGAGACTCATCAGATGGATATAAATTCACTTCACTGTTGATGTTCACTACAAAACACTAACCCAGTACCGTTCGCTTCAAAGGCCATCGTATTACCCACTTAACTACTGAATCTTAATATCACTAGCTTGTGAAATGGTATGAAGTTTAAATTCACTTGGTATTATTTACTTGAATCTTCCCTTTGATGTTTAGGACTGTTGAATTGCAGGATTATGGGTGATCACTGATGTGCAGTCCCATATTAGGACGAAAGGGTTATCCAATGCTTCCTGGTTTTTAATGGTGAACTTTTTATTTGAACATACACAATCCTTTATCGTTCCCAGGACAGAGTGGGTTGAAGAATGCTGGTCGGCGGCCTATGCTCCATTAGGAATAACAGGCGTAAGTAGGTAAGTAAGTAATCCTTTATCGTTATTATTTACATTACGTAAGCGATCATTAAATTTGTCTATCACATCAACCTACTTATATTCTGTTATAACTTGTGACCGCCGATTAGAGAGCAGTGACTTATCGATCGGATCAAAGACGCGTAAAACAAGTGCGAGCAGCCCAGAGTTCTGATTGGCCTTGTTTCCTGTCTAGCACAGCTAGTTAAGTCCAGAATTCACTTTTTTATAGTTGATCCTCAATGTTTTTGATGAAGTTTTGTCCTCTAGACTGAATGGTTTGGTTATGGAACTTGCATCGTTCTTTTAAACGAAGTCATCAGTACAAACTTCAGTTAGAAGTGACATGTTCGAATTTCTCCACATATCGTTCACAACTTCTCGTATAAACCACGACGTTGATCGGTTCTTATTGATAGTTCTGAGAACAGAAATTCATGAAAATCATTCACAAATCTTCTCTACCATCTCAAGATCTTAAATATATAGAGAGGCAGTAGTTTTTCATCGTCTACTTTACTCTAGTGAATATGGTTGATACAACTAATATCTTTGTAACTCCTTAATCCTACCATTTTTATTATTCATCTGAACACATACATATTGGTACAAAGGAGCACCATTTACCTATGCGTTACACAATCAGTTGATTTGTGTGTAGGCTGTGATACTACCCCAACCAAATCAGGTGATTTTCTTAGGGGGGGCTACACCACGATCCTTCGACCTAAAAGTCTGATTCACAAATCAGTGGAGCAACTTAAGGAGATGCAATCCCATGGTAGCCGATGACTAATGATCGGTTCATACACTATTTATTTCTTCAGAATTTTAGAGCCCATGTGCAACATTAGTTTAGAATCAGTGTTTTCCAACTCACCTAGGTGATGCTCTATATCCACTAACCCGGTTAAAGTACCGATATTCACTTTTTGTTTTATCAATTTCGTAAACAATACTCCAATAGCGAGAAGATAATGAGTAAGACTTCCGTGGTAGTGGCTGTATACACATGGCTATGTGAGAACATTTCATAAAGCAGAACTGACTCTCCCTACCCTCAGCCGTATCATAGCATAATATCAGTACATGTTTATGTAAGTGCAAGAATAAGACTTTGAAGTACAGCCTAAGTAATTAGCTCCACTTGAGGAGGGAGGGGGACTCAGGGTACTTTCATTCTTAAATCATACACCCATCAAAACATATCATATTATAATATATATGTAACCATGGTGACAAGATGAATCAAAAATGAACAATATCAACTTACCATA